GCCGGAGTTTTTTTTTCAATGAAGAAACAATGTGGTCAGTTGGTGTAATTCCCTTAGGTGAAATGGAAAAGCGGAATTTTGAATTCAGCAAACAGAACTCTTTACCAACTGAACACGGAGAAGAAAACTTTGTGCATGGGACCCGAGGTTGAGGTCATATGGATCTCTGAAGTTTTCTGATCACGCATCCGAAAACTTGAGGTCGAGCTTTGGGTCAGATATCGAGGCACTTCGGTATGTACCGGAGTACTTCAGATGTCTGACCCGAACCCTTCGGTTTACATCGAAGTACTTCAGATGTCCGACCCGAACTTCGGCAGCTCGACCTCAAGTTTTTAGGTACGTGATCCGAAAACTTCAGCGATCTATATTACCTCAACTTCGGGTCCCTTGCACGAAGTTTTTTTCTCCGTGAATGAGGGACTCATGAGCCGTGGGCAAGGCAAAAGAGCGTTGTGGACAAGGCTCATGAGTGAAAGCAAAGGAAGGGCGACGACAGAGACGGCTTCGTCACCGCTGACGTCACTGGCTCTTAATAATTCCCATGTATCCTTACCGCCCGAGAACTAACGAGCACACCCACACATAGTTCTGTATGGTAGAAATACGTCCAATTTACGGACTACATACAGCTAGATGGATAAAGGGAGGGGATCAGGAAAACCTACTTTTTTTACCCTCTTATCGATGATCATAGTACAAAACCGCGTATATCTCCGTTTGCGACGTTGCAGGCTTCCTTCCGAACTTAATTTTTTTCTTTGGAAAACCAGTCATTTTAATTTCTTGAAAACATCCTTGATTTTTCTTCTCTATTAGCATAATATTCCGTAGAAATTTCAATCTGCATAGTTGTCTAAACGCTCTTCAAAAAAAAATAACATTAAGAGCAGAGATTTGGCAGCACCGCAATGCTGCCGTGCTCAGGGAAAACGCCGTATGAACACTCGATAGTTGTCGAATTGGTCCCGATAAAATGTTCGTTTTGGAAGAAAGTTAAGCATATTTTTCCTTGAAATTTTCAGATGTTTTAGATTCAATCGCGGAAAATGTTGTCCAAAAAATTGGAAGAAAAATATTCACAACTTCCCCGGTAAATTTGTACTTCATCAGAGGAAATTTGGCTACGCCTGAAGGTTCATACGGCGTTTTTCCTCAGCACGGAAGATTGGAGATACGTGGTTTGCACTTAAGGCATCGTTACTTTATTGAATCCGAGCAGGGTCGAGCCAGTATCAACACGTGCGGCAAATTTGTGCAACATTTTTACGTAATATTGGTTAACTAAAAAAAAATACTATCAGTAACTGCAGATTGTGCTTGAGACTATTTATCACTGCAACGAAGTCGGATCAAGTTCAATAGCTAATTTTTCTGCCGCGGCAATATTTACAAACGAGCGTAATCTGACAATTAAGATCGAACTGAGAACTTTCTTTCCCGTTCATTCGTTAGGGGAAAACTAGAAATATTTTTTTTGTTTTTTACACGCGGTGTACTAATTAGATAAGGTCCGTCGCACAGAGTAGCGCGAGGAGTGGGAATTGAACAATTTCAAAGAATAATTCGGGTCAAATATTAAGAAACTGTACGACAACCTTACTGAAAAGGCTCTACATTTTCCTCCAAAAAGCAGTGGCGAGAAAGTTTTAAACTTCTTCGTTGAATTAGATTTTGACCTGTATGTACACTAAAAAAAGCTCTTCCTGAAGAGGCTGCACTTAGGAGCTATATAAGTAGACATATACCGTCTGCGTTCCGGGCTCAGAGGCCGAAAGTTACAGGTGTGGCAACCGGAGCATTCGAAGGGAACCGGCCTTTGAGCCCGGAATAGACAGCCCGTTTTTTTTTCTTTTTTTCAGTATATACACTAGAGAATTCGATGAACTGCGGCATTAGACTTAGCATAAAACATTCTGTATAAGCACACTGAGTAGCACGGTATCATACTACAACTCTGAAATGGAAGAAGTCTTGATTTTCAATTCCTCCTAATTTAAACTACACAAATTGCCATTTTTTAACCTTATAATCATTTTCAGCTCTAGTTTAGAATATTTTATTCCACATTTTCAAAATCCTCATCTCTGCATCTCTCTGTGGAATCTCATTCGGTCCTGTAAAACAGATCCCTCTCTTTTCTTTTACTAAGCCTGCTTTCGTTTTAAACCGCGCGAAACTTTCGTCTCAAGCATATCGCAAAAAAAGTATTTCGATTAAATGTTTTTTAAGGGTCTTTTTTTCTTCTTCGTTAATAAATAGTTTTTAGAAAAATTTTCACCCGGTCCGTGATACAAACGAATCGGTGGCTAAATTATTTCTACCCGAGTGTTAACCATTGAAATATCTCAAAAGTTCCAGTGCAAGTATATATTAAACTCAATTTAATATCAGATTACCACTGCTCTAAACTTTCTCTTCGCACCGTATTAATTAAAAGTTACTGTTCGAGAGTAAAAACTTCCTTTTGCTCTACTGGGGAAGCATTTAATGTTCGTATTTGATGATCGGCAAAATAATATGAGTCCTCCTCTCATAAAAAAACCGGAGGCCAGTTAACTCGGAGTAGAAGGGCATCATTAATATGACAGGGTTATGCGATTGTTCTTTCCTTTTATGAGGTCCCAGGTCGACGCTGACGTCACTGGCGCTGTATGATTCCTACTCATTCTTACGACCCTTAACTTACAAGCACATTCCTTCTTTTCCACCAGTCTCTTCTTCCTCTCAGCATAAACACCTCCAAAACTAGCCAAAAATTTGGTTAAGTAAGTGTTGTCTTAAGAGCGCCTTTCAGCTGAGTATTCTGTGCTTTTATTATGTTTTCTGTCTAAGAACTCTAAAGTCCAAATCATCCTTTGATTGACATTTTTTTCAATATCAGCTTCCTCTGACCGGCAAAAGTTGTTTTTTATCTTTATTTTTGTTTTATTTTTTTCCCTCAAAAAACGATCTCTGCATGACCACAATCAATTATATATGTCGAAGGCAAATAGTCACATTAGGCATTTTGTCAAATATCTCGGGAAATAGTCAAATATCCTTACTTAGATTGAAATTTTCATTTTTTACCCTAATTTTAGGCAAAATAATTCGTTGCTCTCGCAAGAAAGAATTCTCGGTAAAAACACGCAGCGCACAATGATATTTTAAACGATTTTGAGATCCTGAATGCATATTTCTCATGAAACCTTCAGCACGTTATAAAACATAGAATTTTTTAAATTTTATCCTTTAAATGCACTGAATGCATGTAAAAAGGAAGGAACAAGGAGAGTTCGCGGATTTGAAGATATATTCTTTTCAGAACATTGTAAACCCGTGAACTCCTCGCCATTAATTTACAGAATTCCATAAACTGTCAAAATTTGGCTATCAGCCCAGGCATTTGATAAAATGTCTGATTTGACTAATCGCCTTCGACATAATACATATTTTGCTGAATATTCGTGTACTGAAATTTCAGCGGCGTGGCGTGAATTGCGATGTATCGATTGTTATGCCATTTAAATCTATGGAAAAGGGTCGATAAACTGGGTGTTCGCAGCGAACACCTTAATCGATTCTTTACCATAGGTTTGAATGGCATAACAATCGATACACCGCAATTCGCGCCACGCCACTGTGGAATTTGAGTGGTTTCAAAGCTCTGAAATCCATGCTGCCGTGCTAGCTAAGGAAGAACGCCGTATGAACATTCGAGAGTTGCCAAATTTCTTCGGATAAAACATGCCTTTTCAAAGAAAATTATGCGTATTTTTCCTTAAAATTTTCAGACGTTTCAGATAAAATTGCGAACAAAATTGTCTGAAAAAGTAAAGAAAACTATCATCGATGTTCGTAGCTAATTTGATTTTTACTGAAGGAAATATGGCAGCGTCTGAAGGTTCATACGGCGTTTTTCCTCAGCACAGCAGCATGCGTGGGGGCCGGATCCACTGCTTAACACGAAAGCTCGGTTTAAAACCGCATATTTGGATCAGATTAACACTTCAGTTCCGTGGTTTTTGCTTGACAAGGCAGTGCACCACAAAGCTTTGAAGTAAGTGTGACTTTTCTGCCGAGGGCCATCAATACGTCGCCCCTCTGACGTAAGGGCGTATCGCAACTTCAACGTGAGCCCTGGTATACATATGAATCCACGCTTTCTGGGGCTCAAGTGGAAATAGAGATACGCCCTTTTGTCAGAGGAGGGACGAATTCTCTCACCCGGTAGTGCGATGAGCGTATGCGCCTCTTCGGGGATCACAGATGCTGGGAAGTGGGTCAGAGCTCTCCCTTTCCGAAGGAAAAAGTACTTCGTTGGCTCCAGCTGTTTCTGAATTAAGGGAGCCTTCTCTGGAGAATAAAAGGGGGAACTTCGAATTAATCAATTTCTGGAAATAAAAACGCACAACCTGCTCACAGAGAGTAGATTTATTATTTTTGTATATTGGTCTAAGCTTAGTACAACCATTTTTAGTGACATTTTCAAGATCCTATAAAGTGAAATCATAAAATTGTAAAACTCCTGAATGACCGCTCATGACAATTTTTCTATTCATCGCTGTTTAACTTTTTTTGGTATGTTCAAATCAAATTAAAGTTAGCTTTCGGTTTGAATCCGACAGCAACTTTGAGGTATTCTTAATTGATACATTTTAACAGCAGGCCAAGAAATCTAGTTTCAAAATGTTTTCTTGCTATTAAAAATTTCATTTGCATCTTCAAAAATTACACAGGCCCTGTGCTCCCAAAATAGCTATGGAAAAAGCTCATTTCTCAACGTATGAAACAAACTGACGGTGAGGCGAGGCTCAATATATTTTCCTGCCTTTCACACTGTGCGACACCACTCCTCTCTTTAGCCTGTAGCTGTAAACAAACGTGCTTTTTCCTTATCTTCCACACAGGCATTTCATTCATCAAAGGCTTATCAGTGAGATTTTGAAATTTTTTGTTGTTGTGGTGTATCATGCACTGAACTATACGAACTACCAATTAGTACTCGTTTATATTTACTAACGGTGCTATGGTCACATTCCACCCTCTCCGTCACATGAATTCGCTAATGTTTGGACAAATAAATAGTCGCTGCAGTTATCACATTGGATTTTTCCTACACATTATCTAAAACTTGAGTCCAATAAATAGTGCGTTGCGCCCATTAATTTTTCACTGCCCTTCCTCATTTTCTATCGTCTAGGTTCTTCCGTATTTTCACTCCGTGTTTATTGGTAAGTGAGGACTCAATTGTCTTTTTTTAAGTAGGTTTGGTGTTACTCATTCAAACTGTAAAAATTACGAGTCCCAATCATTTCACCTATACAGTCCCAATTCAATTACAGCCCTTTGTTAATAACTACAGAGAGTGCAAATATGAGTGCATATTCATCCAATATGTTAGCAATATGAAGCTTTAATCACTGTGTCTTAAGGTCATTAAAATGTCTGCTGTGTCTTTGAGGGAAAAGTACAAAGCAATGTGTCGCGGTCAGACGTAAATTTAGCTTAGTGAGTCTTCGAGGATATGTTACCGATTCCAAGGACTTCCGATAGCGCGATCATTTCTAATTTTAAATTATTAATTTCAATAGTTCAAAGTTAGGTAATGTTAGTGTGTTTTAAAGGTCCAATTTTCATAACAAATAATTACAAATGTGTTGCAGGCTATTAGCTAATTCACGGATTTTGTCAACTGCCCAGGCAAATTATTGAACAGTCCCTCCAAGATTGAATTCATAATTTTTTTGCTGGATTTTTATTAATAATACTTTGGAATAAAAATAAGAAATCTCTGTTGAATTTTAGATCATTTAAGGGCCGTGCCACTATTGTCAAGTGCTTGGATGAAAATTGAGATACAATTTTTTTGGTGTTTTATAAAACACAAATACCTTGCCATTTTTGCATCCAAAATGTCTTGGGACTGAATCAATTACTAACAGTGTCCACGTTCAAAGTGTTGGCAATGTGAAATTTCTAAGTCTTCTAGGACAAGCAAATCTTCAATATAATTTAATATTCAACCATTAGCTCAGACTTTTCTGCTTTTTGCCTGCAAAAAATGCATTTCTTCGGGGAAAGAATGGCTGAACATAATACGTACACTTTAATTAATAAAAAAAAAAATAAGTGGCTCGTAAATCATTTCCTCGGAAACAATAAGTATTGTTATTGGAACATAATTTCATGGCAACCATTATGAAAAGTGTGCGTCGTAGAGACTTAGAGACTCATATACTTTGAAAGCTTGCTTCAAAAAGCTTTAAGTAATTTAGAGCTGAAAAGCGAGACTCTGCCGACAGCATCCTTCTAGGAAGAGTGAAAGCTTGCAGGCATATGTTGGTGTGTCAGGAACAATAGCGCCAGTGATCAACTTTCGCCGTGGCACGAAAAATAGGGCGGGGAAAAGGAATAAAAGAGGCATCCTCTGTTGTCTGATGGCTTTCTAAAGGACCCCCTTTGCCGACGCTTATTGCAGGGTGATTATTGATATTAATAGACAAAGCTAAAGTCAAAGGAGTCTTATAGACCGAGGAAGAAAATGATCGAGTAACTGTAGGGTCCCTCGTGGGTTATGCCGTTAGTTAGAGGGCCGCCCCCAAATTACGTAAAGCTATAAGAGGGGGGTGGTCGAGGAGGCTGTTACGTCGTTTTGTTTTTACGTAATGGATAGCGATCTACGTCACAAAAGCGTTACAAGAGGGAGGGTGGATCAAACATGCCAAAAAAGTCCGTTACGAAATTTAGGGACAGTTCCTAGTCTGTTACTCGCAGCTCTTTTTGTTTATTCAACCACCATCCACCAATCAGGGCCGGATTTAGAGGGTGGCCACATGGGCCGTGGCCCATGGCGGCAAATTTTGAAATTTTTTCAGATGTATGTATCAAAAAAAAATCGGATTCAGAAAAAAAATTACGAACTAGAAAAGGCCATAAAGTCTCTCCTTTCCTGAGAGTAAAGGTATGGAAATTTCTAATTTTGTCGTCTCTCGGTGATACAAGAAACAGCACCTTTAATTAGTCGAGTTAAGAGAGAAACCGAACACGCAATTCGGCCTGGAACGGCGCGCCGTAGAGAGCAATGATAACGAAGACCTCACATGAAAAGGAGAAGCCCTCGACGCGGCGGTCGGCACGTAACACATATTAGCGCCTACAAAGCTGCATGGATACTTGACGCATTGCGTCAAACACAGTGCGGTCCGCAGCGATCTGCGTGAGACGCATAGCGCCTACAAGACTGTAGGAATACTTCACGCACTGCGCAAAACATAGTGAGGTCAGCGCGGCGCGGCGGTGGATGTTAAGATTATTATACCACATTTATGTTCGTTCTTTCATAATTTTTTCGTTCATTTCTTATAAATGGAAGGCGTTGTCCACACAGCGATAGGGTTACGAGACTTAACATTCGCGCAAAGTTCCGTGAATTTTTGCTAGTAGTGGTGACAGGGCTTTCGCAAAAAATGTGTCCATCACGATTTAACGCGCCTTATGCACCCCTCCCCTCCCCCTCCGGCATGTTCACTTGATGGTTTTTATTGATGTTCCAAAACGAATGAAAAGGGGGTGGCAAAATATGAGCGGCCCATGGGCGGCAAGAAGGTAAATTCGGCCCTGCCACCAATAGGATCATTCCATTTTCTCTTTGTCTTCTTTGTATATCGTGGCCTTCTTACCGCTAATTAGGATGAAGATTGAAGTCGAAAACAGTCGTCCTAATGAAAATATAGCAAAATGTGTAAGATATTGGAACATCGGGAAATGGGTCAGAAGAGAGCAAAGCAGGGAAGTTATAAACGTATATGTATACATGAAAAATGAAAGAATATTATTTTCAAATTGGTGTGTCTAACACGTTCAAGTGTCAAATCAAAGAAAGTATTACATATTGGAGGAGGTAGTGTACCTGCACATATGCATGCATATTTTGTCATCTGAGTTGCCAAGATACACATATGTTATAGCCTGCTTGGATGTTTGTTTACTTCGCGGTCCGAAAAACACGGACACTTCTTCACTTCAGTCGGTTGTTAGTTCGTTTTGCGCTATGAAAAAAAATATGGTCGGCTTTATAGAAACAGAGTGGCTTATGAAAGACCAGATAATACAGAGTCGGCACTCTGAAACAACTACGTGACGAGAATTATTCGGGCCGAGGTAAATCAACCGAGGGCGAGGGGACCATCGACGGTCTGAAACTTTCATGGTCGTTTTGTTTTCTCATATTTTCGAGTTATTGGTGAGGTCTAACGGGAACTCTCTCTCTCATCTATGCCCCGTCTCTTTCCTCTTTCTTCAGCCATGTGACAACTTTTAGGTTATAATTGTCGTAATCTAATTCAACGTAATTTTGTATTTTGGCATAGGATTTACGATGATCATGGTTATTCTGCCGTACTTAGGAAAAACGCCGCATGAACATTCGAGAATTGCCAAATTTCTTTCGATAAAATGCTTATTTTTGAGGAAAGCTATGAATATTTTTCCTTGAAATCTTCATGAACCAACTTTAGGTGAAATTGCGGACAAAATTATCTGGAAAATTTGAGGAAAAATATTCACAAATTTTCTTGAAAATTCTTGATTTGCCAAAGGAAAATTCTGCAAAAATTTTAAGGAATAATGTCAAGTTGTTCTCCTTTAAAAAAATAACATAGAGGTGGAGATTTTAAGACAAACCGCAAACGAGATATGTGATTGCGGACTTACGCCGTCGTTATATTGATCTGTCACCCCATGGCTTGATTCAGAGGGTAGTATATATGTTGTTACGGCAGTTAGCTAATTCATCGATGCCTTGATTTTTCCTGAACAGAGGATTCTTCTCCAGTTTTAAGGGGCTGAGGCCAGCTTCCTTTTGTGACTTGCTTCTTTTCCACGAGAGCAAGTAAAGCCCTTGTCCCTAGAGAATAGCGTTTCCTCGCTCTGCCACTCATCTGATGATTTCTTGGGTCTGAATCTAAGCAAGCTAACTTAGGGGCGTGGATTGTTTCAGCTAATTATTTCTGCTCAAAATATTTAATATATATTACGATTTTAAATCGATTTGAGCTTGCCCCACCACTCACCAGGTTAAATATACAGAACGAATGTTTTTTATGAAACACCTAATGCGAAAAATGCATTGGAAAAAAAAATCCTTATCCGATAACCATATTGTTTCGTATAATTGTTACTTTCCTCAATTTGAGCCACCATCTCTTTCAATTTTCTCCTAGGAGATATACATGTATGATATTTAAAATGAATGATTCTTTTTACTTTTTTACTGAGAAATTTAACGATTGATCTACATTAATAATGCTTCATTACATTGTCAGAAATCTTGAAAAGGAAATTCAGAGTGTATTTCACTACGGGTTCTATTTTGTTTCCAAAAACCCAAGTGTTATAAATAATGACAGAAATCCGTTCTATAATTGAAGTTCGCTCAAAAAAAAGAGGGGGAAGTTGACGACGCAAAATGAATAAATTTTGCCCCGCGCTATCACTCTGATTTCATGCGGCATATTAAACTCAAAAGTGAAATTCTCTTCGAACTGCACTCAAAGATTTTTAACAACGTAGTAATTTTTTGTGCTACAAAATTAACAACCCAATAAATTCCACAAAAAAAAAAAATAAATAAAAAAAAACCAAATACGTTATTTTTCAAAAACTTCCGTCCGCACGAATCTTGGCTATTTGATTTAATTAGAGTACCCCCATATCGAGAGAATGGACAGATCGCTTCATGGAGGTCTTAGGGTCGAAAAGTGCAGCCATCTTTTTAACCAACTTTTTACACACGAAAATTCACTGCCAGTCTGCAGAGTCTGCAAATTCCAATCCTAGCCAAGATGGACGAGAATGTACAGAAATAAGCATTCTTCCACAAGTGAGTAAATTTATGCAAAAACCGAGTCAAATGCGTGCTTTATTAACGACGGATCGTAACAATATTATTAGTAAATCGTTCTGGATTATTTAAATTCATAGGATGGCTACATTTCTGGGCCCTAACTTTATTCGCAGAAGCATCGGTGAAGGCCTGATGGATTTTCGAAGTTTCACAACTGTCCATATCCTCGCTATATAGGTGCTCTAGATTTAATCATTATTTATGAATTTTCCACGCTCCCTTGGCACTACAAGGATTAAAAAACAGAATCGCCAAGTTTTTTCAGGCAAAACGTTAGTTCAAGTTAAATTTCCCGGCAAACCAAATTAATCCTGTCGAGCCACCCTC